CAATTCTCCAGTTAAAACTAATCTCCATAAACATAATGATTCAGTTCTGCTTCCCTGCTTTACAGGTAACAATATAATATTCTTCAAAGATAGGAGAGAAAAGAAGGGAAGGGGAAGGGGAAAAAGGGGAAGGGGAAAAAGGGGAAGAGGAAAAAGGGGAAGGGGAAGGGGAAAAAGGGGAAGGGGAAGGGGAAGGGGAAGGATGAATGATTTCTCCAACAGAAGAACATGCAAAATTTCCTCAACCTAAACCAAATCTCTGGATTTCCACTCATTTTTCACTTCTGGATGGTGTGATGAGCTCTGTTGCAGTCCACAAGCATATCACAGTGGACTTTTCCCAGAGACATGCCTCTGGGCGATACAGCAGGATCATTCTTTAAATAGGGACATCCAAAATGAAGCCTATTTTGTATCCTCCCTTGTGGACCAGTGTAGAAGAAAAACTCCTGCCAACAACAAATTAGTGACTTTTAATGACAAACAAGTAACTATGAGTTCCATTGCATTTGTTCCAATTTTTGCTGTCTACATGTAGGCTTTTAATATGCCAGTCCAAGAAGCACAAAAAATACAAACAGATTCTTATAACCTGACAACTAACAGGTAAAGATGGGTCCTTCCAGACGTCTCAAATATAGCATGGCTCTCTAGTAACTTCAGGCACTGATGCAACTTGCCATGCAACCGTCATCCATTCTGATAGCACTGGCAAGGACTCAAGGACTCAATTTGATCTTTACTTCATTGCTGAAAAATATTCAATTTTCTCCGATTCTATTTTTAGCATACCAAGGGCTATTTTTCCAGATTCCCATGCCTAAAGTTAAATTCACCTACCTAACACACCAATATCATCCCTGGTATTGATATAACATGGCATAAAGAAGATATTAAACAATGTGATTTCCAACAACATGGCTCACTTCTGCTAGTGTTACTTATGTCAGCTGGCAGAAGCATGTAACAGCTAAAGAACAGGGGGCTTTGGTGGGATGTGGGAAAAATGTTTACTTGCTTTAACTTGTCCAAAACTACCTGTGAATTTTGACAACTGAAGATTTGGCAGCCTAGATTCAGATGCCTCTGAAAGGTCTGTTTGCTTTTTTGTGTAGCTTTTGTCTTCCTAGAAACAGTCACTAAAGACAGCTCCATTTAAATTCCACATTGTCATCAACCTAAACAGAGCTTAGTGCATATCTCTAAGGTAGAGGTAAGTAGAGGAGAAAAGGGACGAAAAAGGAGAAGGGAACAGAGAGAAAAAAATAGCCCCTACATTTCCACTTTCATCTTCTGAGCCAGTTGTTTTGGAAAAAATACTAATGGTGAGGTGTGAAAACATGTAAAGGAAACTGGGAAAAACAACACAAACAACATCAGTTCAGTAAGATGTGGTGTGGTTCTCAACAGCACCGGAGGTGAAGGGGATGAAATATTTTTTAAAATTTTTAAAGAGTGATGAAGAGTCTGTCCATTCCCAGGAAGTATAATGAGATATTTACAACTACATCTCATCTGCGGAAATCAGAGAAGCCAAATATATTTGTATAGGAGTCACTACATTGTAAATAGCTTATCCTGTATATTTGGCACATAAATATATGAATGTATGTGCATTTATAACCTTTAAATTTGACAGAGTCTTTTTCTAAGGAATAAGAAATTGGTTTGCTCATCAGTGGGTGTACAGGTATTTGTCTCTGTGCCTAGAGGACTCACCAAGCATCTGTGGATTGGTCTTTTCTATGCTGATCTGCCATGCTTCTTACTGGCAAAAACAATACTACAGATTATTTAGCAAGCTACAATCCCTGCCTGTGAACAACAGAATTTTATTTAGTCATTCATTCTGGAGATATAATTTAAAAGGACAAATTAAACTATATTCTAGAATTTATTTACAAGTAATTGTTGTAGTTAGTGTTTCTTCTTATCCCAAAGACGTTTTAAGCTAAGGTCTTCCTTCATTCAGCTGTCCCTTTTCTCAGTCTTTAGAAGGCAAAAGAAACTCTTTCTTCTGTCTCCTTATGGATTGGTGTCCAAATAACCCAGGGTCTACAGGATGACTCAGGGAGCTTTAAGTTATGCCTCTGCCTTGTGGTTTCTTCCCTCTGTGAGAAAAGTTCTGAGACAACCAAGGAGCTGACCACAATATACTCTGTATTGCCACTGTAACATAGCAAGAGGCACCCTCTAACTTTTAAATCATCCCAGCATATACATGGCTCCCCATGTCTGCCTGGATTCATCAGTTAGATTAGTCAACTTTAAAGAAGCTTATAAAAAGAGTTGATCAGCTTCATTTGGACTTGTGATTAACAGGGACACTTAAGAGTGAAAAACACTGCAAGCATATTCTATCAAAGCAGGAGATCAAGATCTGGATAACAAAGTCAGAAACAAGATAAGAACTAGCATAATGCAATTCTTGGGTTACATTTAACCAATGCAGCTCTTCCTTACCTAGCCAGGTGACTCTTCATGAGGATCTACGATGTCTCTCTACCACCAATGCCAATGGACCCCTTACTTTCTGTCTTTCAGGTGTTATCACACATAGCTGAACCCATTTCATACACACAGAAATACATATTCAAGACTTTCTCTTGAAAATTTTGAATCTTTTCTTGAAAGAGTAGCTGTTCCTCACATCCAGCCTTCTGTGGGAGAAAAACTATACTACAGCTCCTTGATCAGCTTTCAGTCCTAGGCTCACTAGGGACAGAGTCACCTTTTTTGTGATCATAGTTCATTAGCCTTTCAACTTCTCATTTTTTCCCTCCCTCTTCTGACTAAGAAGGAAGATGACTATAACACAGTCCTCTTTAATATCTTTATCGATGATCTGGATGAGGGCATTGAGTGCACCCTCAGTAAGTTCGCAGATGACACCAAGTTAGGTGCATGTGTCGATCTGATCGAGGGTAGGAAGGCTCTGCAGGAGGATCTGGATAGGCTGCACCAATGGGCTGAGGTCAACTGCATGAAGTTCAACAAGGCCAAGTGCCGGGTCCTGCACCTGGGGTGCAATAACCCCAAGCAGAGCTACAGGCTGGGAGATGAGTGGTTGGAAAGCTGCCAGGCAGAGAAGGACCTGGCAGTATTGGTGGATAGTCAGATGAATATGAGCCAGCAGTGTGCTCAGGTGGCCAAGAAGGGCAACAGCATCCTGGCTTGTATAAGAAGCAGTGTGGCCAGCAGGTCTAGGGAAGTGATTGTCCCCCTGTACTCGTTCAGTACAGTACTGTGTTCAGTTTTGGGCCCCTCACTACAAGGACATCGAGGTGCTTGAGAGAGTCCAGAGAAGGGTGCCGAAGCTGGTAAGGGGTCTGGAGAACAAGTCTTACCAGGAGAGGCTGAGGGAGCTGGGTTTGTTCAGCCTGGAGAAAAGGAGTCTAAGGGGCGACCTTATCACTCTTCATAAGTACATTAAAGGAGGCTGTAGTGAGGTGAGAGTTGGTCTATTCTCCCATGTGCCTCATAGCCATGGACGAGGGGGAATGTGCTGAAGTTGCTCCAGGGGAGTTTTAGGTTGGATGTTGGAAGAACTTCTTTACTGAGAGGGTTGTAAGGCATTGGAATGGGCTGCCCAAGAAGTGGTGGTGTCACCATCCTTGGAGTCTTTAAAAGACCTTTATATGTTGAATTTAGCGATATGGTTTAGTGGAAGACTTGTTAGTGTTAGGTCAGAGGTGGGACTCGATGATCTTGAGGACTCTTCCAACCTAGACAATTCTGTGATTCTGTGATAAGACTGACTAGACAGACAAGGTAATATTCCTTACAGTAAAACTCCTTTGCATTAGGAAAAAAAAAATACATAAAAGTTATAGACAGCCACCCAGAGTGTTCAGAATTTCATGAAAGCACGGCATTCTTATTACACTCCATTGGCTTCTAGCAGTGACTAAATGCAATATAGCCGTAATACAGATTCTGTACTTAACGAGGATGTATAAGGCAGTGGTGCACACTCCTCCCTCAAAGGTGCTGTCAGCTCTGTCAGAATTCATCAGTTCAGCTGAGCAGGTTGCTACTCTTGTTATAGAAATCAGGGGCCTTAATGGGATCTCCACTGCCCTCTATTCATGCTGCTTGGAGAGGCAGTAAACCTGGAGGCAGTCCAGCTCTACAGTTAAGGCCAAAGTTGTTGGTTCCAGCCAGAGGTGCTTAGGAACAAGTGCTGGATTTAGCATTTTTGCAGCTATAGCTATTTCTGTTGGTATAGAAAATAAGCTCCTGGCTGCTCATCTCTGCCTGTTTCCACCCTTTCCATGCCTGTCTTCAAGGTGACAAAGTGCAGGGCAATGAGATGAAATCACTACACCATTCCAGAATGTGGCCTCAAAGTTGTTTATGAATATTGCAGATTAGCAGTACCTCACTTTTCTCTTTTGTCTCTGACCCCATTTCTAGCCATTCCTTTTGGGTCAGGCAGTGAATCCCATATACTTCAACAATGGAAAGTGCAGACTGATAATCCCACTTATCCAGGCTCAGCTCAATGTGGGGTCTTGACTCTTCTCTGGAAACTGCTGAAAATCAGTAAAAATGGCCTATGGTCACTCATTGGTGGCAGCAGAACAGAACACTAAGGGAGTACACTGTGTGCACTGAAAATACCACGTTCAGGGTGTGGGGGAGAAAATATAATCTAGGTAAATAGTACTGCACAGTGTAGTACCCAAATGGGATGACACATGGTTGTAATCTTACTTCTGGCACTCCCAGAGTTTTCAACGATTAGCCTTTCAACATTAATTCTTTCTTTTCTGCAGCCATGTTGTGTGGGAGAAATAATAGTAGAAAAATAACTGCTATAAAATATTGAAATTGAGAAAGATTTTAATGTCATTCTGCACACACAGGTGCAAGATTCCAGATTCCAAAAGGATACATCTTAAGAAGAAATTTCACAAAATAGGTGCATTCTCTGAATGTGATTCTGTGCCATTCTCCCTCTTGGAGATGGTATCAATCTTTCAGATTAACTGCTACTCATTCAGCCGTATCCTCAAAAGGATTGTGGTTCTCTTCATAAATGATTCAGGCAGCAACAGTATATGAAGTTAAATCCTTGATGAGGAAGGAGCAGCTACTTGATCATTTAGATTAAATGGATGCCTCTTGCTCTCTTACTCAGCAGTGCTCGTGGTCTCCATACAGGGGACTGGAAGACAAGTTTCAATTGAGTGTTGCAGCTCACCTGCTCGTTTTGACCACAACAGGCTGAGAACCACCAAATTTTAACAAGGAGACTGGTTTGACCTAGAGGGGGAAAAATCAGCAGTTGGTGATGAAAGTAAAGCGTATGTGTGACTAGATAATTTTTGCCCATCTACCTTTAAAACTTGAGACTAAGACTGCAAAGTGAAACTGTTTATATCTCCTTTGGTCCCAGATCCACATTGCACACATGAGAAAGAGAAACTGAGATATGTTACACAGAAAAGCAATAAGAAAATAGAGAAGTGACAAGGAAAAAAAAGCAAGGTGAAGACTGAAACAGCAGGGGACTATAACCCAAGATCACTTGCTGCTGGGCTCTGAAGGAGAACAGAATGATCTGCTGACAGCAGAAAGAAAAACTAAAATTTACACCAGAACCAGGAAAGGTAGTGACTACAGGCTTCATTGTAAGAATTGACAGGTCTGTCACCCAAAGTGTTGCAGCCAAAGATGTATGATATCTGCCATGAGCAAAAGGTATGAGATATGTGCTTGAGGCAAGAACAAAGACTGATAGGAAGTGGAGGTGAGGAAGGCACAGAAAAAAACTAACCTAGTTGCCCTTCACATTGGAACAAATGATCCTGCCAGATTCATGTTGAAACAAAAGCAAGAATAGCTACTCCCACTAGAAATGAGACCCAAAGCAAGATGATCTGTATGGTAACCTTCCATGTCCTTGACAGGGAGAGTGCTTGGGATCAACAAGAAAGAGAGGATTAACAGGTGAATTAATGTAATGTTATTTGCAACTGAGAACATTTTCAGGTGTGCAGTCCTTGGGGGGTATTAATGAAAAACTGGCTCTTGACACAGTGATTTCAACCACAGTATCTGACTAACATCAATACCAGGATAAAGGTTCACGTAATGTAAAGTAAATAAAGTGGGGACAAGAACTTTTAAGAGAGAGTTGTGAAATTCATGCCATCTGTCAATACACAAAAAGAGGAAAGTGTAACAGATACAGAAATACTATGTATTAGTTAAAGCCCATGAGCAGAAGGAGGGGAAAAACAAGAGAAGAGAAAAATACACATGTTGAAGGAAGTGGCAGAGTCATTAAGGCAAAATAGTATGATATAATTATAAAAGAAAGGTATAAAGTCAGGAGGAAATGTAAATGCCTTTAGTCTACACATAAAACCAAATGGAGGCATTAGAATCTGGTAAAAAACATGCAAGCAAATACCGTAAGACTCACAAAAACACAAGTATTAGTCATAACTTACATTAATATATTAAGTGCTTCTGTTATCACAGAAGAGCAGAAGTAAAAGCAAAGATAGACATAGATGATGCAAATGTGTTGCAGCAGTTAGTAGAGTAAGAAGAAGAGTTAATCAGAATGAAGCATAATCTATGAGTTAAAGAGGTTTAAAAAAAAAAAATGAAGGGGAAAAAAAAGAGACATAACTGTATCACTAGTCAATCGGGTAAAGGCACTGGCTGACATACAGATCTGGCCATTTCTATAAGCTAAGGAGGAACAAAGAAACAGACTCTTACCAGCGTGAGTAAAGTTTCAGATGCAAAAAGGGATTTGGGCTATGGTGGAAATATGAGTTAGCAGTATCAGAATGGAACAATAAGTTATTTAAGAAGATGCAACAGTGTTTTCATGCTCCTGGGATTCTGAACAAGAATCTAACTTCTAAGATGTTAACTTCTTTAGGACTTGATCAAACTTCTGCAATTAAATATTTTCATGGGGAAAGGGCTTTAGCTAAACTGAAACGTGAAAGGTTAGAAGGACTTTTCAACTAGTGAACTGCAGAAAAACACTGTTTGTGGAGATGCATATTCTCAGATAGAGGCATAAGACCTCTATATAAGGAGAGTGTAAGAAAAGCTGGGAAAACTCAAGTAGGAAATGATGGTGAATAGTTAGATCATTCAGCCAAAAATCTACAACAAACTTATATGTTTCTAGACACATAAAGCAAGCAACAAGATGGAAGAAACAGCAAATCCTACTTTAAATAGAGATCTATTAGTCACACTGGAAATTTAGAGGAAAAGCAACTGGTGGACCACTATTCCACAGGGATGTGAAACACAAAGAAAAACTGCTGGATAGGTAAGTGTAGCTGTACATTTAAAGCCTTAATCTGAAGACCAGGTTAACAGATTGGTACCTACGATACAGCAAAACCCCTATTGAATGACATTTTAGACCCAACTCTCTGCAACTCCCTGAGCAGGGGAAGCAGGGAGGGACGTGCCAGCCTCTGCTCCCTGGTCACTGATGGCAGGACATGAGGGAATGGCAAAAAGCTGCACCAGAGGAGGGTCAGACTGGGCGTTAGGGAAAATTTCTGTATTGTGAGGGTGGTCAAACACTGCAACAGGCTTCCTGGAGAGGTGGTTGATGCTCCATGCCTGTCAGTGTTCAAGAGGGTTTTGGACAATGCCCTCAATAGCATGCTGTAACTTTTAGTTAGCCCTGAAGTGGTCAGGCAGTTGGACTCAATGGTCTTTGAGAGCCCTTCCAGGTGAACTAATCTATTATATTCTAAGAGGAATTCAGTAATGGGACTGTGTGATGGCTGGCTGGTAAGGATAGCAATAGTAACCAACAAACTGAAAGGTATTTCTGTGGCTGTGAAGACCAAGGGACACAGTAATAAAGAGCATCTATCCAGCCTTCCTAAAGAAATTGTTAGCAAAAATGTTGTTAGGTTTGATGGCATACTATATAATTATTTATTTATAGTGCTTAATCATTCAAATATTCAGGAAAACCCTAACAAGAAGTACATTGTTTACTTATCTGACTGACACAGACACAGAAGTTCAAAACGCAGCAGAGCCCTTCTGACCTGCACAGGATCTGAGTCAGAGTCAGGGTTGAAATAGCAAAACCAAAGCTACATGCTATACTTGTGCTAAACTTGACTTTGTAGACTTTCTTAGACTGGTGGTGTTTTCTAGCTCACAAGCCCAGGACAAAGCCATTCCAACTCTCAAAATATCTTGTATTGTTCCTAAAATTAGGAATTGAATCTTCTTATGAAACACGTATTAGCTGGCAGCATACAGGAAACACAACCTGAGCCATTCTATGATTCTGTGAGTTCCCAGCTATATTTTGCATAGGAATAAAAAAAAAAAAAAAAAAAAAAGAGCATGAATGCTAATAAAATCCTACATCAGAATTATTTGAACAACTCAACCACAAATAAATCACTATAGCAAAGAGCAACACAGAAAAGAGTTGTGCCATATTATGCCAAATAGAAATCTGACAACTAGGAAGGTACAATTAGTTGTTAAATTGAGAGTGTGTAAGGCTCAATCTGACCTGCTGATATCATAAACTAGATATCCTACACCCAGCAGGTTTTGTACTAAAAGTAAAATGACAGTTATGGTTTAAACATTTTAGGGCAGTACCCAATCCTCATTTTAAACCTGCAGAACAAACAATCGAACATTTCCCAAGACCATATTTCACAGTTTAGTCATCCTTACTCTTAATAATTCATACTTTATTTTCAGCTGGAATGTGTCTGGTTTTGGCTTCCAGCTGTTGATTCTCGTTATATAGTTCCTAGCTAGATTAAAGAGCTCTGTGGTGTGTGGTAACTTCTTCCCATGAAAACCCTTATCCATATTAATCAAGGTATATGTCAATCATCTTTGGGATAAAAAAAAAAAAACATATTGAGCTCTCTCTCTTTTGTTCTGACATTGTCTTCAGCCCTCATACTGTTTCTGTGGATCTCTACTGTGTTCTCAATCTTTCAGCATGCTCCTTTAAATATTAATTCATATCATTTTAGCTGTCTAAAAGCTTGGCTTCTAGCCTAGGCAAGTCTGCAAGGTCCCTCTATGGTCTACATAGTGCAGAAAGCAACTCAAGAGAGCAGTCAATTTATTCTAATCTCTTAGACACCTCTCTCAGGATCAGATAATGATGGTTTGGATGCAAGCCTCTCTCTCCATGGACTACAGCAGGAATCTGGGCCAATCCTCTGGACCACACACCCAGCTCTCAGAAAGCTGAATTCAAAGTCATGTTCTAACTCTGGTATCAATTGTTTTCAGCATTTTAGTATGTACCTCACCAGGACTGTGTATGGCAGTCAAGTCATCTTGCTGCTCATGTCTATACACACTTGCACATCTGCCCCTCTAAGCTCATTTTTATTTTCTTCATACCCCATGACCTCTAGATCCTTTTTAGAATCCCGTTTCCAGATTGCAATTTCTCCTTTTGTAACCCATATTTGAACTGAATATCTCCTGGAAAAATAGAGATCATTCTGCAAGCTGTATCATGATTCCCATGACAATTATCATGATCAAAATACTCTCATGTCTCAGCTGCACCTATTTATTTGAACTTCCTGTTTTGGAGCTTGAATGAAATAATACCAAGCTTAACAGATAAGTGACATTTTTGATACAAATGGAAAACTTGTTTTTAAAGATGTAATAACTCAGCACAGTCCTTCATAACCAGGACCTAAAAACTCAGAAAGCTGTATTGATTTTACCCTTCAAAACAACCATAAATTCTGGTAGACCTAACTTTGTTTTGTAATAACACCATTCTGTGATACAAAATCAGCTTGTTTCAGAAGGGAATTTGTGAAGATGTCTCAGTTCTAAAATTTATGAGTTTATAGAGGAAGAAATAACAGATATTGTAGATACATTTATCCCTAATTCTTTGAATTTTCATCTCAACATTATTAAGCAGTGAGGTATTATGAAAAACTGACTATTGTGATATGAATCAAGGGAAAGTTACCATAAAAGCTTAGATGATACAGAAACAATAACTATGAAATAAAGCAGTTGAACTAGATCTCTGAATTAGTGGCCTAATGAACAGTCTAAGTTCATTAGTCTAAGTTCAACAGTCTAAGCAACCTTCAATACATTTCCATCATTCTAAGGCTGTAAAGGAAGCTTGTTTTAATTGTTTTTATGTGATATATCAGAGAACATAAAGAATTGTTCTGAAATCAGAAACAAACAAACAAAAAAAAAGTCCAAATATGTCATTTATATGTTGTGCATTAGATGAAAATAAATGTGTATGTTAATTATGTTCTATACAAGAAAACTGAAGTGTAAAACAAAAAGCAATACATGGCTGCACCTAGAAGCACTGTCTTTGTACACACAGTAGGAAGTACCAGTGATGCACATGCTCAGCTTTGCTAGTCCTTGGTTAAAAAGAGTGTTTTCAAGAGGAAAAGGTTGCTGTACCTCCTCTGGGGAAGCTACTGAGCATGGAAAGTGAGCAAGATTCCCAACAGACAGGAGGTAGAACAGGGGAAAACCACAGCTTGACTGGGCTGCAGCGAGGAGCTGGGAGCAGCCAGCCAATCTGAAATGGATGTGCAGGGCCTGGGTAGTGGTGCTGCAACACACAGTTGCTGAGATAGATGAAACCAAGCAGAGAAGCAAATACTCACATGCAAAGAGAAGTGGGCAGGAGGAGAGCTGTATATACATTCTGCTTCCTCCTGTTCTGCTTTCACTAGTTGTTATGCATTTTCTGAGTTTTTAAAAAAATGCTGACATTTTTAGCTCTTAAATCAGATTAAATGGGATTGGGGGAAGCCGAGTTTAAAATCTGATGCTCTTTTGGGAGATGTCCACTTTAGTAGATGTTCTGAGCATCTGCACTGGGCACCTCATGGCTTAATCATGCTGCAGAAGCATCAGTGCAGGG